AGATGTCCCACATCACAAACATCCAGAGATGTCCCACATCACAAACATCCTCAGATGTCCCACATCACAAACATCCAGAGATGTCCCACATCACAAACATCCTCAGATTTTCCACATCACAAACATCCTTTGATGTCCCACTTCACAAACATCCTCAGATGTCCCACATCACAAACATCCAGAGATGTCCCACATCACAAACATCCAGAGATGTCCCACATCACAAACATCCAGAGATGTCCCACATCACAAACATCCTCAGATGTCCCACATCACAAACATCCAGAGATGTCCCACATCACAAACATCCTTTGATGTCCCACATCACAAACATCCTCAGATGTCCCACATCACAAACATCCCCAGATGTCCCACATCACAAACACCCTTTGATGTCCCACATCACAAACATCCAGAGATGTCCCACATCACAAACATCCTCAGATGTCCCACATCACAAACATCCAGAGATGTCCCACATCACAAACATCCTCAGATTTTCCACATCACAAACATCCTTTGATGTCCCACTTCACAAACATCCTCAGATGTCCCACATCACAAACATCCAGAGATGTCCCACATCACAAACATCCTCAGATGTCCCACATCACAAACATCCAGAGATGTCCCACATCACAAACATCCTCAGATTTTCCACATCACAAACATCCTTTGATGTCCCACATCACAAACATCCTCAGATGTCCCACATCACAAACATCCCCAGATGTCCCACATCACAAACACCCTTTGATGTCCCACATCACAAACATCCAGAGATGTCCCACATCACAAACATCCAGAGATGTCCCACATCACAAACATCCTCAGATGTCACACATCACAAACATCCCCAGATGTCCCACATCACAAACATCCTCAGATGTCCCACATCACAAACATCCTCAGATGTCCCACATTACAAACATCCTTAGATGTCACACATCACAAACATCCAGAGATTGATGCGGTTAATTGAAACGGGTCGAATAAATTCAAACGTGCATCTTAACGTCATTATCTCAAGAGAAAACATGTTGGCTGGAAATGGAGGTAGCCGCCTCGTCTTTACCGTAATAGATGGCTTGATTGGTTCAAGTCAATGTTTCAGCACGTGTTTCGGTGAGTTTTTATTTGGTTGCTAGCGCTCTCTTACCCGACCCACTTCTCAGGCTAACCTTTAACCCCTAGAAACTTAACAAACGTCGACCCTCTGGCTTTTGTTTTGTTAAAACATCCAGGCCGTACGGAGGGTTAAAAGTTCTCATGTTACTCAGGGCTGGGGGAAATAACTTGCTTTGAATGTAGCACCTAGTCGCTCCAACTGGGGGGGGGGGGAGGGGTTGAACATCAGCACATCAAGTAAATGGTTGAAGGGTTCAACGTCAGCACATCAAGTAAATGGTTGGAGGGGAGGGGTTCAACATCAGCACATCAAGTAAATGGTTGAGTTCAACATCAGCACATCAAGTAAATGATTGAGTTCAACGTCAGCACATCAAGTAAATGGTTGGAGGGTTCAACATCAGTACATCAAGTAAATGGTTGGAGGGGAGGGGTTCAACATCAGCACATCAGGTAAATGGTTGGAGGGGTTCAACATCAGCACATCAAGTAAATGGTTGGAGGGTTCAACATCAGTACATCAAGTAAATGGTTGGAGGGGAGGGGTTCAACATCAGCACATCAAGTAAATGGTTGAGTTCAACATCAGCACATCAAGTAAATGGTTGGAGGGTTGAACATCAGCACATCAAGTAAATGGTTGGAGGATTCAACATCAGCACATCAAGTAAATGATTGGAGGGGAGGGGTTGAACATCAGCACATCAAGTAAATGGTTGGAGGATTCAACATCAGCACATCAAGTAAATGATTGGAGGGGAGGGGTTGAACATCAGCACATCAAGTAAATGGTTGGAGGGGAGGGGTTGAACATCAGCACATCAAGTAAATGGTTGAAGGGTTCAACATCAGCACATCAAGTAAATGGTTGGAGGGGAGGGGTTCAACATCAGCACATCAGGTAAATGGTTGAGTTCAACATCAGCACATCAAGTAAATGATTGAGTTCAACGTCAGCACATCAAGTAAATGGTTGAAGGGTTCAACGTCAGCACATCAAGTAAATGGTTGGAGGATTCAACATCAGCACATCAAGTAAATGGTTGGGGGGTTCAACGTCAGCACATCAAGTAAATGGTTGGAGGATTCAACATCAGCACATCAAGTAAATGGTTGGGGGGTTCAACGCCAGCACATCAAGTAAATGGTTGGAGGGGAGGGGTTCAACATCAGCACATCAAGTAAATGGTTGAAGGGTTCAACATCAGCACATCAAGTAAATGGTTGGAGGGGAGGGGTTGAACATCAGCACATCAAGTAAATGGTTGAGTTCAACATCAGCACATCAAGTAAATGATTGAGTTCAACGTCAGCACATCAAGTAAATGGTTGAAGGGTTCAACATCAGCACATCAAGTAAATTGTTGAGTAC